GGCTTAATAAAAAGGAGTAGCTTTTGCCCTCAAGAGGTCCTTTAGATCTACAAGCTGAAAACAACCACAAACAGAGCTTCCAGGACCATATCCTCTTTACCTAATCTAATATTGATCAAACTAAGTCTCACCCAAGTAACTTTATCTGCAAAGAACAAAACTGTCACAGTCACCCTTTGTCTGCTCCATCTGCCCCACACTTGCCCCTGGCATTCCATAGGCCCCATGGACATGCTTCTAGAAAGAGGACTTCTAGAAACACTAAGCAAAAGATATCATGTAGCCACACCATCTCTGTTGTCATAACTGATTTTTCTGCTAAGATGAAAAAGGAAGATACACTGTTGGAAAATATGAGAAGATTGTGTTCTACAATGCAGATTTATTTATTTTGTGTGCATTGAACCAAGTTCTCATATGATTTCTACCACTTCACAAGCATAAAGCAGTTGTTGGAAATCTTTATGTTTTTTTGGGGGGGGGGGTAGAAATTTCTGGTGTAGAAATGTGTGCTCTGATTAATTCCAGATCTTTTGAAACTATGCTTTACATGTCTTTCATTCCCAGGTGCTGATATCAATACACAAGCTAGTGACAAAGCTTCTGCTCTCTATGAAGCTTCTAAAAATGGACATGAGAAGATTGTGGAGTTTCTCTTGTCTCAAGGTGCTGATGCTAACAAAACCAATAAGGATGGGTTCTTACCAATTCATGTGGCCTCCAAAAAGGGTTATTATGAGTAAGTTGCTTGCTTTATTTTTCAGTATGTTCGTCTGTTTAAACATATGAAAATTAATTATGCGTATACAGTAGGTTCAAATGAAAAGTCCGATTATTTTCACCTCAGAAGCTGACACAAATGAATTCAGTAACCATCCAAATCACAATTAATCAGGATGTGATAGACCATATACAACTTAGGATACCCAAAATAGCAAGAGAGAAAAAGATATTCAGAGTGTGACATAACTTTCTCTATCCCATATATACACTCTTATGCATGAAACTGTGGCTGCAGAGTTATTATGGTTATTTATTGTAAATTGGTAATATAAAACATAAGCACAAGAAAAGTTTCTGTCTCCAAGGTTCTTAAAAGCCAAAGTTTCCTTGTTAAGGTACAAGACAAGGAAGAGAAAGAAGTAAGACTAACAAAAGATTAATGTGAGCAAATGCAGTTGCCTAGATGTTCTAACAGTTGGTTAGATTAGGATCATGGGAAAAATGGGTTTTTAGGATGCTCGGTTATAGTTTGGTAACCAGGTTATATGGGTGCAGCTCAGTTGTCTAGATCAACTTCCCCATTTGAGACATGTGGTTTATAAAAATATTTGGAGCTGTTCTTCTGATGGTAATCTTTCAACTTATATTTGTCAATTCTGGCAGGTGGTAGACTTGATTACACGGAAAGATTTCTTGGTGTTTGATAGCTGGGTGGATAGTTTACTGAATTAGCTATATGTTTGGCCCTTTCCAAGTCAATGATTTATTTTTTAAAAATCCTAGTGATTACACTGCTTTAACAGTATTTTGCAAATTCATGCACTATGATTCAAAGCCCACTTCAGGTCATATTAGGAAGTCATCTAACCAGAGTGGTCTTGGACAAATCAGCATTGTGGAGTCCATATTTTTAATTTATTTTCGGCCATGCTGATTTTCAAAGCAAGTTACAAGTCACATTCACGGTACAGAGAAGTTTTAATTGCTCATAGTAACTGTTAGGGTTGTATAATGCTATGAATTTGATTTCAGAAAGGATTTAACATTGAATCTTTTGGGGATCAAATCTGAACCACACTACAATCCTAATAATGTATATGTCAGTAAGGGTGCATATTTTGGTGTGTTTCCTCAATTTAAGAGCTCTAGCCACAGTTACTAAACTAAACAGGTGAAGTAGAATGTTTCTTCCTGTTGTGGTAGACTTCCATTTACAGAATACTACTGTATTCTATGAAGAAGCAATTTAAAATATGAACCATACCTAAAGTCCAAAATGGTACAAGTCCATTCCACCAATTCATTCCCACCTTAACTCAGATGCAGCCCAGGGTAAAGCAGGAAGACAAATTTAAATGTTCACTTGGAACTGAATCCCATTACTTCCAACTGAAGTTAAATAAAATAATTCACTGGTCTGGTAGCCGCAAGGAAATAGCAAAAGGGGCATCATAAAGAAAATTTAGAATCACTGAATTTTAGAAGTGGAAGGACCCTTCATAATCATCTAGCAGTAAGACATTTTTTCAATACAATATTCTGACTTTTGCTTAAACAACTCCAGCAAAAGAGGTAAATCATCTATAGGTATGTTATTAATAGATTACTTGAAAATACTGAACAGGATGCAATGGATTTCACTTGATGAAATTATATGAAATAATGGCAATGCTATCCATTAAGTAAAATTATTGAAAGATTATTATTAGAATTAGGACATTGATCTACTCTACTTCAAAACAAAAAACAAAATGAAGTGGCCCAGAATTTTTGTCTGGTTAGCTTAGTGCTGATTAAGATCAATATACAAGTTCAGAATTAGGTTGAAATCTGACATTTTTAATATTTAAAAAGCAAGCATGTGTCAAAAACCCATGAAATGAAAGTATTAAGGAGCTTTCCTTCTGTAGCTGCTTGGACAAAATATTCATCCAAATGACAAGCTTTGCCCCCATATGTCCTTATGGGAAGGCTTACAATCTCATTGGCATTCTGAATAACAATACCCTTCACAGTGAACTTTCTTTGTAAGCATGGAAATTTAGTATATAATTCTGCAGGAATTTCATGCTTAGAATCACTGCCAGGTGATGAAATATCCATAACAACAACAAAACCCTCAAAAACAAAAACAAAAAAAATATTTTTTTAACCTCAATTTGCTTGGCTTTTGTTTAATGTAAATGATGCTACCACTATAAACCATGTGTTAGTACTATAAGTTGTCAACTCTATGACCTTAGCAATAGTGTGTTTAATTCATAAAGTCATAAATATTAATAGCTTAGAAGTGGTTATTATTGCAGTGCATTAATTCAAATGTGTTAGAATAATACAGGTTTTAGAAGTGTGGGGCCTTATAAGTGATGTCACGAACTGATCATTATGGAAAGGAGAAAAGACGACTAACAACTAAGCTGAGAATCAACATGGTCAAAGTTAAAAAGAGGAGTCATGCAATCATACCTAATAATTTTACCAACAATTCATATTATTGCTAAGTCTGTACTACGCTACACAGTTTTGTTTATTTAGTATTTAAATATTTGTAGCCCATGCACAAATCTAAGGATCTGAAGGATACAATCCATAAAATGCATAAGATAAAACAGTATCCTAAAATGTTAAAAGACCCCAATATTTAACACTTTAAAATAACAGTAACCTACTGTACCATGCTGTGATCACGTGGGAGGCTCTTGAAGTGATGAGATGCTGTCCCAGTGATGACAGATCGCAAGTGCTTGTGCACAGAGCTGGGCAACATTGATAAGCTAAGGCTGCTGACTGTATGCTGACTGCAGCTGGTTCTCACCTCAGGGCTGGTGGTGGAGCTCCTGAGAATTCTTCTTTTGGGTGATTTCAACCTTAATACCCTGGGAGAATGGTCTGGTGCAGCTTCATGGTTCACGGTCTCTGTGGTGACCATGGGCTTGTCATAGGTAATTGTGGTTCCAACTCATTTATTGATTTGATTTGATTTATAAGGCTGCCCACCTCACAATACAGTACTGCCTCTGGGCAGCTAACACAGCTTAAAAGACTCCAAGTATAAAAGAAAAAACACACAGTAAAGAAGCATACAATGGCAACCTAGGGCAACCAAGCAACAAATTGGCTGATAAATTAATAAAACCTCATGGGCTCAGCTAACCTCTCTACCCCCATGCCCGGGAACACATCCCGGTCTTGAAAGCTTTCCAAAAGGCCCGCAAGGTTGGGGCCAAGCTGATCTCAGGTGGTATAGTGTTCCAAAGGGCAGGTGCTGTGACTGAAAACACCCACTGTCTGGGTGCTGCTAGGTGACAATCTTTAGTCAAAAGCACAAACTAGATCTGGTCTTTACTTCTGTGCAGATTAGATGTGTTATGAATGGAGGATATTAACACCAGTTATTTGCTGTGATCAGATCACATCCTTGTTAAGCTGTGAATCTTAGATGCTCTGGCTCTCCACAAGAGCAGAAGACCAGTTAGAATGATTGGTCCAGGCACCAAATGAATCAAGGGTTTCAAAAAGTCTCTTACAGAATTTTCTGACAGTTGGCTGAGCATTTTGTCTTGCGCCTGGTCAATCCGCTTTCAGAAACAAACTGAAAAGTAGATGGAGAGAATCATAGTTTTATCGTGTTGGCCTTTCCACAAAATCTTTTTATGGTGTTCACCCCTCCATCCTAACTCATTTCAGTGTTTGCCAAATTGTAGTTTATATTTACATCCAAAAGACCGTAGCATTGTCTGTTTATTACAAGAACCCCTTTTAGAAATGAGTTTTATTAGAGGTCTCAAACACACATCAGGATTGTGCTTTTTCAGTGTTGCATAATTCAAGTGGTATTCTCAGGGTAGGCCTTTGGGCAGAAGTCTGGGCCTTACTTAACAAAATGAACAGAACGCCCTGATGCAGTAGTCCTGGTTTACACATTTGAAAAAAATACATAGACTTCTAAAACAAATAAATACATACCCAACTAACTGGAAACAAAGACTGCAGTGTCTCTTTAATTAAGCTGTTTAAATAGAATAATCTCAAACCATAACATTTTAATAAATCCCACTAGATTGTAAAATGACTAATGCTGATACTTCACATCTAAATCTTTTTAGCTGTGACTTTGCAGTTTTAAACTAATGAAATTTAGTAATGGTAGACAGTTGCCAGTTAAATAGCACACAGGTTTCCCATCTTCTAGGGAGCATTCCTTCTGTGTGAGATCAGTCTCTGCTCTGAATGCATGAATGTCCTCTTGAATCTTCTTTTGATGAAGCCATGTTATTTTAAGAAGATAAATAATGACAAGCGATCTGACATCTGTTATTCCTAAAACTTTTTCAGTAGTGATCTTGTATCAGCTATTTAAATATTCCTTTAACTGTTCATGCTGACCCATTTCATATCAAAGGCCTATCTGAAATTGCATTGTTCAAGGAAGTTTCAGATAAAACCATTCAGAATATCTACCTATCTTTTCCATTAGTGAGCTCTGTATATCTGTAGATCAGATGTGCTCCAAGAACATTGATTTTTGCAGTTCACATACTGAAAACACCTGCTCATACCTACTCTTCACTACAACCATGTTCATGCAGTCCAAGGAGAATGACAGAAAGAGATTACTATCTATTTTCCCCAAATACCCCACATAACTGGGGAGAGGAACTGCACCTTTCAGGTATCACCAAACCACAACTCCCATCATTCCTAAATATTGGCCACACTGCATAATACTGACAGGAGTTCACACCCACAAATAAATGGCCACAGGTAATGTACCCCTGCCAGAGGAGAATCATTTAAAAATCCTGTTCTGTCCCTTTAAGAAAGTACAGGACATAAGGGCTGGAAAACTAATGAACAGGGACTTGGAAATGTGGCTGGGACTGTGTACTGTAGTTTTATTCAACAAAATGATGTCATTGTTTGAAGCAACTAAAGTCTGTGCAATTATTTGCAAGTTACTATATAAATACATTATAAACCCTGAATATGAATATATGAATATATGTTATTTGGTGTATGTGACATCTAGATAGGTAGGTAGGTAGGTAGGTAGGTAGGTAGGTAGGTAGGTGGATGGATGGATGGATGGATGGATGGATGGATGGATGGATGGATGGGTGGGTGGATGGACGGACAGACAGACAGACAGACAGACAGACAGACAATCAGCCCAAATCAATCCACTGCAGGATAAAGGGCCCTTCCTTGAACTTTATCTATCATGCTGGTCCATAATCAGTAACTTTGATTATGTCTGTTTTAATTTCATTTCTGCCAGGATTGTGAAAATGCTACTCCCAGTAACAAGTCGTACTCGCATCAAGCGTAGTGGCATCAGCCCTCTGCATTTGGCAGCTGAGCGCAACCATGATGATGTCTTGGAAGAGCTGATTGATGCTGGCTTTGATGTAAATGCCACCCTCTCTTTTGAGCGTTCCCGACTCTATGAAGATAGGCGCACCAGTGTCCTCTATTTTGCAGTCATCAACAACAATGTATATGCCACTGAGTTGCTGCTTGAGGCTGGAGCTAATCCCAACGTTGACCTTATCAATCCATTGCTCATTTCCATCCGCCACGGCTGTTTGAAGACAATGAAATTACTTCTTGATTATGGAGCTAACATTAATACCTATGTTGCCTCTCACCCTACAACTTTCCCTGCTACCATAATGTTTTCAATGAAGTATCTTGTTCTGCTGAAATTTTTGATGGATCTGGGCTGTGATGCCAAATCCTGCTTTGTGTGTTGTTATGGGTGTGGCCCACATCCTCCTATTGATATTAGGAGGCACGGGTATAATGATCCTGAGGTGAATAACGAACGCAAAATTGTACAGGTAAAATTACTTTTATTATCTCATATTTCCTTTGGCATTTACAGGGATATATGGGGAGAAAAAGTAACTCACAGGTATGGAACATATTTTTTCTTAGAATGGCTACAAGTTCAAATTCTGGCTTCTCCAGTTTAAACAAAATCAACCAACCTTACTACCCAGCCCACAGGAATATCAGGTACTTTGCCTTTGGCGATGTCATCCAGCCCCCAGGCACCAAGCTTCTAGGTAGCTGCTGGGCAGCTGAATTAATCACAACATTAAGCGAGGACAGCAGGGAGGACAGCATTGTATAATGAAGCTTTGAAGACCATCAAGGGGAAAGAATACTTTATTTGCAGAGAAGGTAGCTGCAAAAACAAGACAGGAGACTAGAGTTGGAATTTCTCGAACTGGAACTGAACAAGCATTCAGAGTGTGGGGACTCCAGGATAGCTTGTATAGGCTGAGCTAAAACTTTTTTCCCATGTTCTCTTCAGACACATGCTGTTACTTTTAGCTTCTGTATTTTGTGTTTCCAAGCTTCCTTTTATACATATTCTACTTCCTACAAACATGTCTTTGCTTAGCAGAGAAAAATAGTGGTTACTATCATCCCAGATACAGTACTATGGTCCAAAAGACCCCTTACTATGATTAAAAAAAAAATAGAGGACTTGCCCTCCCTTCTCATATGGCAGATGGATAAACTTAGTATCGTCTCCATAATAAAAAATTATCAACTTAACTCAGTGAAATCTCACAGTATCTCACACAGAGCAAAATCAGAAAGAAATAGTCAATTACTACCGCTAGGTACCCAGCATATTAATTAATTTTATTGACATGTACATGGTTGTTTTAAGGTTTTTCATCTTAACGTCTTGTTTCTTTTATTCTTCTGCAAATTCTGGGGTTCCTCCAAGTCTTATGATATCTAATTTTGGTGGACATTTTGTTGCAGAAAGTCAGAGAATGAACATGTTCATACACTATATTTAGTGCATAGGTTATGACTTTTAGAGGTATTTTATTTGCCACTAGAGGGCATTTAAACTATTTTACAGAAAGTAAGAATTATTTCAACAGCATGTTCTTGCATTATTGTTCTCCTTTAAGCTAGTAACACTTGACACAACTACAAAATATTTATTTTACTTTCAGTGCAAACTGGTTGAAGTTTTTGTTAATATGGAAACAAACATTTCTTTTGATAGCTAGAAAAATGTATCTGGATGATGCTGGCATGTTAGAAGGCATATCATATTGGCATGTTAACAGTCATACTGCACAAAAATTGATCCTTTACAGACTTGCATTGGGTGCTATTATGGACACATGTAGGCATGAATATACAGCTAAAATAATATACAGTGCAGCCAAAAAAAAAGATGCTGTTCAATATTATTTTAGGGGGAGTAGACTTTAAGAAAAAAAACTTTAACCATCTGCAAAAAGCCCAATAAGGACTATGTCTGAAATTTGATCTATACAACTCCAGACCAAGGTAGCAGAATTCTGTGCTGAATAGCTTCCAGATTGCAGGCAGCATTCATCTTTGAATGCTGTGTATAAACATTTCTTCCCACATATAATAAACAAGTTGATAGGGGTAGAATTAAATTAATCCTTTCTTTCTGATATATTAATTTAATATATTAATTTTCTGTATGTAAGAAAGGATTTTTATTCAAGAAAGCATCCAAAACACAGTGTCCAATCCTAAATGGTAACATTAAATATTCTACTCTCTCCATTTCCTTTTGTAAATGTAGCTTGGTGTTCCTATGCTGATTTATATAGGAATCAGTAGATTTTAGCTTTTCCTGCAGAATGGTCATGAATGTTGTAACATTTCTTCATCTGAGGTTTTTGAAAATCTCCCACCTTTCTGTTGCCATGAAATAAATCAGTGACTAATGTTATCTTTTCCAAAGTAATAATAAAGAAATGACCTTCAAGGACAATAAACAGACTGCAGATGTGAATTCAGGCACATATTATACTTAATAATCCTCTGATTTATCCAGAGAACTGTTCTTACTTCAGTCACAAATATATTTCATTCTAATATTTTCTGAACAAAAAGAGATATAAATATATATGGAATAGCCTGAGGCTCTTCCATTTGGAATGTTATCTAAAAAACATGACCCATGTTCTTTCACTGGATCCACTCAACTAAACCATTTTAGAGAATTTTGGAGGAAAACAAAAGTGTGTATCTATATTTAGATAGAACTAGTGCACATTTACACTGAAGTTAGAAGAACCTAGTATTATCATACCCCTGAGATCCAGCTGGCCCTGATTCTGCTAGCATTCTAGAAAGCCTTAAAAACATGGCTGCTTCTGGGTGTGGGGGTTAGGTTAAGGTAGCTGGTGAGATAAGTATTGTTGTAGTGCTTGTTGTTGCCCTTGGTGGCCATCCTGTGTATATTCTCTGTATTTTTATTGTTACCATTATTGGCTTTTTTTTTGTTATTGATATTGCTTTGTTTCTATTGAGTTTTAATTTGATTAGCTACCCAGAGTTGCTGTTGCGAGATGGGCAGCCATATAAATTGATTACATAAATAAATGTTACATTTTTTTTAGACTTTTATGATGTATAACATACTAGAAATGTGGTAATCCCGCAGCTGACATGAGATAGCAAATGCTTTCCCCACTACTGGAATGAATGAATGAATGAATGAATGAATGAATGAATGAATGAATGAATGAATGAATGAATGAATATATACTGTATGTATGTATGGTATAAATATAGTTCATTCTATCTACTTACACATATATTGAGAAAATAAATTACATTTCTGTGAAATAATTACACTTGAAACTGTGTTTTATACTGTGTTGTATTTTCTTATGCCTTTTGATCATCTATAGCACTGATTATATATAATTTATTCTTCCCTACCCACACCAGTTTTGTGAAATGGTTTCAACCCCAGAGATGAGTCGTTGGGCAGGCCCAATTATCGATGTCCTTTTGGATTATGTGGGCAATGTGCAACTTTGTTCCCGGCTGAAGGAACACCTTGACAGTTATGAAGATTGGTTCAACATTAAAATCAAAGCAGGTTAGTTACTATATGGGCTTGCACCTCTATTATTCAAGAATCAAATAAACCAGTAATATTTTGTAGTGCAACTCTTATCACTAAAATGCAGTGGCACTCTTACATATGAATAACAGCCAACTCATAAAAGTTATTATTATATAGGAAGAAATGTTCAAGCCTCTAAAATGTGTTGAGTGTTAGCTCAGTGACTCACAAGAATGCCGTTGGATAAGATACATTCTGATTGTCAGCAGATACCACATAATAGTTGTCTGTTCAGATTACTTTATTAATACATGGGTCATATTCAGTTTTGAATATTGTCTTACTAAGTTGAGATAAGCATAAGTTTTAACGATCCATATTTCTATTTAAAAATCCCTAGTTTTTTAAAGCATATTTGTGGTACAGTACCTTTGAAATAAATACACAAGTTTTAATGAAAAAAATGTTAGCTTGTAAAGAATTATTTTAGGCCAAAAGCAGTATAAAAATAATATGCTACTTGTTTGCTTACTTATTTTTTACTTATATACCTGACAATATTTTCTTATTTCCAGAACCACCAAGGCCACTTGCACACCTTTGTCGAATCAAAATTCGAATTGTGATTGGAAAGAACCGTCTTTCACTTATTGAAACTTTACCTCTGCCAAGAAGACTGATTCGCTATTTACAATATGATTATACCCAGTGATCTCAGGCGAACCTGACAATCAAACATTACATGGAGTGATAATTATATGTATGATAGAGCAAGGTGACATGATGGAAACAGACTGATATGATGGAAGAGAAAACTTGTTTTGGTATGTAAGAAGAAAAAATAAGGATTCCTGCAAGTTAAATCTTAGAATGAACTAATGCAACAGCATTTAGAGTATGGGAAAAAGCTGAAAAGATGAGAATAAAGCACACGGAGCAAATAGTGAAAGGGATATTATACTATCTTGCAAGGAAAAACACTCTTAATAGCTCAACATTTTAATACAACTCTTTACAAAATGCAGGGTGGGCAGAAAGTAGATCGTGATCTACCAATAAATCTCCAGGTGATCTGCATGTCACCAAGAGGTTCCAACTCTCACTGGTTTAGCAATGGTGACAAAAAACTTTTCCTCCTTAATTAAACTGCTAAAATAAATGTTTAAAAGCTTGGAAGAAAATAGGAGGTTTTTTGATGTGAAAGACCATATGCACAAACTCCAGTTCTACTACCAAAAAGAAATTCCTGGTCTGGGCATGTGTCCAGCAGTTCTAAACCTGCCTTCTTAATCTCTTATTTTGTACTTGATTCTGGTTGATGGACCTCACATTTCTAGTGAAAAATAAACACACATATTGTAAAACTAAATTATTCTTAACCAGATATAAGGAAGAGGTAGCAAAAGTTATATCTCTCCATATACATTCACATAGGTAAATGTAATGAATTATGCAGATGATCACACTGTAATCATTATTATAGTGACATCAACCAGTTCTTTCTGGTTGTAGCAATTATAGATATTGCTGCCAACTGTATAATATGCTGGATTACGTATTTGTTGACATAACTGGTCATCATGTTAACAGGCATTAGCAGGTTTACTCATTCATATTCAAATTTTGTTAATGGTCATGTAGCAAAACCATCTTGATGCAATGCAAAGATCAAAAGAAGTCCAGTAATGGTTAAATATCAGCATAAAATTTCAGTCTTTTGGTTGTGTTTTATTTTACTTCAGTTTGCTGGACTTACCCAGTATTTGGGTGTTCTATTCTATACCACATAGATTCATGTTTTTCCATCTAATTTAACATGCATTTGCCTTTTATTCTTATATAAAAGCTTTTAACACTATTTTTTGATCCCAGTTAAGAAATTTTGTAAATACTGGACTTCAAGAATTGAAAGATACCAAAGAATTTAACTTACAGGAAATAAGAACACAAGATTTAACTCAGAAGTATAGATCTGTATCATATTACATAAGTATACGTACATATATTAGTTATGAGGATTAATGTCACTGAGGCCCATGGTATTTAACCTTATTTTAGCAGCAATGAAGGGGAGAGTAGATTCAAATCCTGTGTTGCTTCAGAAAGACTTCAGAAGAAAATTCTTGACCTGCTATTGATGAAAAACAACGATAGTGAGTTGCATCATTGCAAAAACACTGGGTTTACTTCAGAATAAATAATTTGGCTTAACAGGGTTATGAATTGAGAATCCTATTGCTTAACTAGATGATGTCTAAACAACCTATGCTTTCATTAGAATAGTCTTAATGACCAATGACCTATATATAAGCAGTGATGTAGCAGCAGTATTTTTTTTTTTTTTAATGAAACTCTGGTTTGGTGGGATTGTATAATTTAAAGGAGGTAACTTAGTGACATTAAATTATTAGAAGAAAATTTTATCCTCATGGATGTTTATTGTAGATACCTTAAATTGGCATCCTCTTCACACTTAATAATTCCATGAGAAAGTATTCATCTTTCTAATTCAGATCACCTAAATGGGTCTCTGAAGTATATAAAAAGAGCTTCCATTGGTATAATTCATGTTTGTTTTAGAAGTGTGATAACAAGAACCTAAGGACACTGCAGCCAAGTTAACTCAAACAGATTTAAGCAGAGTTCATTATATGCATTTCAAGAGTGCTTTGCAGAAATGTCTGAAATAAACTGTAGGACACCTTGGAGATATAACTGTCTTGATATAAATAAGATTGCAGTTCTATGAATAACTTTTTAAAAAATGTTTGAATTGTTTTAATATGACTTGGTTGACCTATACAGTTTCACATTTTCTACAAGCTGAGAAATCTAGTTGACTCACTATTTTTAGGGAAATGTTCACTTGTCCAGTATATTGAAGAAAAAGAAGCATTAAAAAAAGGCTTTCTAGTTTTTCTCATACACAGATAACTTGTTAATCTGAATTCCTCACTCACATAACCAGAATTAACTCCAATGGATGATTAGATCTGCAAAATAAGCAAAAACTTAGCAGATTCAAGGATAGCTGTGGACATAGAATGAAGGGGAAATTATCCACTCAAAAGTCCTCTTGAGAGTTGTCTTTTCACTTCATTATTTTTTGCCATTTTTTAAAAAAAATACTCGGTTTACATTTATTTGCACATTCTGCACACTACCTCTCTTAATCATTTCACCCAATCCAGCAATAATTATCTGTACAGAAAGATTTTCATGCACAAAGCACAAAATGTTGGGCTGGGTTTGCAAAGGGCTGTTAGCTGAGTAATGCCTTAACAATGGGTTAACGTAGGTAAAACAATATGAATTACTCTGCTCAACTCTCTGTACAGTAGTCTGCTCCAGGGAAATACAAGTATAACAGTGGGTAAGTCGCTTTCTACTGCTCCAGTGATATCCTGATTTTTTAAAAAATTCACCAGTTATATCAAATCTGTACAAATTCTGCTGTTTTATACAAGTCTGAGAAGCTATAAAGACATGATTGTAAATCTTAAAGATAAGAATATTTAGGACTTTTAAATAAACCTCATAGCTCCAGTATGTAGCATGGTGGCATGCTTTAACTGATGGTGTTAATGACAGAAAGATCCTGTTATTACATATTACAAGGAAAATTTTAGGATTTTTGCAAAATATTCTATTACTATTACCTGTTTGATCTATTATTTTATAAATGTGTGTTTAAACTATGTCACAATGTACTTTTGAGATTTTTGTTTTGTTAACAATAGAGTTTTTTTTTAATAAACTGGAGATTAATGGGGGAGAGATCAGTGTGCCAATATTTTTAAAGCACTGCATTTTTAGGTGTTATTGTTTGCATTAAATCTGAGTAAAATTAATGGTGCTGTATTTCTATTTTTAAGTCTTATTTATAATACAGACAAAAATAAACACACCCACATACTTGTTAAGTGAAGTACATGTAGAAGGAGCGGGAAGGCCTAGATAAAGTTTAAGGCAGCATAATCTATGAGATCCCTGCAATGGAAACTGCATTTCTAGATACATTTGGCTACCATATTTGTCTAACTCTAATGTATAAACATAAGTTCAATTACATATATTTATCTGATATTGTGTAAATTTCATGAGTTCATAGAGTGCTACATGGGTTGCCTTCTCCAGTGATTTTATAAAGCAATGTGCTTGCAGAACTGCTTCTTTTATTACAGTGAGTAGGAAAATTCCTTAAGTAAATAAGGATGTTGAAATAAGGACACATTTATGTGTATACTGACACCCCTCTGCTCACTAATGCTTGATGGACCAAAAGTATATTGTTACAGATAATGTGGTAAATTTAAGCAGACATCAAAAGCCAGAATCCCAATCAGTGACATAGTATGGAACATGTCTCCCAACCTATCTTTTATTTTTCCCACACCCAACACATGCACGGCACTGAAATGCAAGCCCTCATGAACTCTAGAACCTTACAATAAGTTCCATTTTTACCAGCATATATGCCCATGTTGAAAGCCTGAAAGAAAGTGATCTTTTTTTCTAGTTTATTAAAACTTCATTGTCTAGTCCCATAGGGTTATTTTGACTCATCACAAATGACTAAAAGAGACTGTTTAAAGCATACATTTGCTTGCATAAAAAGGGCACAAAGAAAAATTTAAAAGATTAGTATCTTTACAATTGTTTTCATTTTAAATGTTTTTTGAAGGCATATTATTTGATATCTGTGTAGTCATAGAGGGAGACTATGGAATGTATAATTGTTTGCAAATAGAACAGAACAAATTTCTTGTAAACAAAATATCTAATGATGAAATAACTGGTTAAAGCCACAGCACAGCTGATCTTATTCTGTAAGTACAGTATATGCAGCTCTTGTTAATTTCTGTATGCCTTAGATTTGTGTTCATGAAATATACATGCACACTGGTAGTCCTCATTTAGCGACTGCCTCATACAGCGACTGTGTGCAGTTACAACAGTGATGGAAAAGTAACTTTGCAGCCAATCCTACATTTACGACCTTTGCAGGTCTGTAAAGCAAAGGAAAGTTGAAGTAAGATCATAAGGATAGTCATGGTTTCACTTAGCGATCGCTTCACTTAACAACTGAGATGCCAGCCCCAATTGTAGTTGTTAAATAAGCACTACCTGTATATGGTCTGATTCATATTTGGTTTTGCCACAATCTCCAGAAGATAATAAACTAAAGTGTAGGTATTCTCAAATAGTTCCTTGAAAGGGTAAGGCTAAAATCCCTAATTGTTTATTCCGTACCACTAAAATGTATAAATAATAATGTCATGATCTTCAGCACTACTATAAATGATTGCATCATACATGGGATGAGAGCAGTGCCAGGCTCCTTGCTTTTAAATGACCAAATTTTATAGAATCATTCAGCTGAAAACAACCAAGGCCATTTTTGCTAACAGGGCCTTCTATCCAGAATTAACAACAGATGGGTTATAGATGAAAAACAATTGATGCATTTTCACAGAAGGAGTAAAACAATTATTTTCTTTCTTCCTGAAAAGAAGACACTTTTCTACCTGAATGCATTTTAACAGTGGAGACTCAAAGGAAAAATTGTATGGGATTTATTTTTGTTTGTTGTAACAGTCTTAGTACTTACATGCCACGAAAAAAAAACACCACAGCATCCTTATTTACAAAAGTGTGCATTGCATTTTCTTACATGACCTTTTTAGCAGGTGCAGAAAAGAGGACCCCCCCCCAAATAATTTCATATTCACAATTGTTATTAATTCTTCCTTTACTAACCCAGGCAGGTAGATTCTACTACCATTCTAAAATGTGGTTTATTTTTATTGTTATTATTATTATGCCACTCAATTTATCCTGCCCTTCTTTCAAGCAACTCGGAGTGGTGTACAGTTTAAATTCCACACATGCACACTTTGCCTTCACAACACACTTGCCAGGTAGATCAGATTTGGAGATGATAATTGGCCCAAGGTCACCTAGAGAACATATCTTAGCAGGAGTTTGGAAAAGTCATCACTGGGTTCAGTATGCTCTTTCACACTTTCCTAGCTTTTTGTGTTCCCTGATGTACCTCCAGAGCCAGGGGACCTGAGATTAAAGAGCAGATCAGCTATTTTTTCAAGCTCTGGAAGTAGCCTAAGGCACTCGGCTTTCTTTCAGAATCAGCACTGCCAGTGACCTGGGCAGGGCAACGATTGAGAGGTGATGCCCTTGGAAGTTGAGGGGAGGCTGCCAAGCCTAAAGGTATCCGAAGACACTAAAGATGAGGGGCGGTGCGGCGGGCTTGGTGGGGATGGGCTTCCACACTACAGGCCGATACACTTTCTGCCCTGCCTGGCAGAAGGCCTCGCCCTCCGTCGGGGAAGGCGCATCTTTCCGCCAC